TTCAATCTCTTATTCAAGTTCATTATCTTCTTCTATAATTCCTGGTGACTGTCAGTCAGAAGTCAGTTGAGAAGAGAACAGATCAGTGACAGTGTGATGAAACAAGCTCATATAAAAGACATTATGAATCTCTGATAATGTGTTAAGACAGTAGTTATAACTGTCTAGAACTTCTATCACTTTATACTTTATATAGTAGTAATTCAGTGTACAAGATGAGTGTGTGATCTATATATTCTTAAGATTCAATCATATCAGATCTTCTATCTTATATTGCTCAGTGAAATCTCAGTGAACATTAATTCAGTTCTCTTAATCTTGTTTAGTGCTTGTCATGAAGGCTTCTGCTCAGTCATAAGTGTCTCAGAGTTTTGTTACTATGTTATCAGTGATCTGAATCAGACTGCAGAGATTTGATATAAACTGTGTGATCTCTAGAAGATTCAACACTTTTATGTGATAATTATGTGTAAGAAAGAACAGACTTACACCTGTTGAGATAGCATCTCAATCATTGATAGTAATCTCTGTGTGTAGAAGAAGATCATACTAATCATCTTATAAGTGATTACAGAACTTATAAAGATAATTCTTTATAATCTGAATTGTTTATTCTGATGCATCATCAGTCTCAGAGTGATAGACAGTTAACAAATGATATGTAATCTTAAGAACTTGACAGATTCTTATTCAGAGAGTACTTATGAATTGACAGCTCTGATTTAATACTATAGATCTCAGTAATTCATACATTTAATAGAACAGACTCTGTAGAAATGCTTCAGTAACTTATTCAGTATTCATCTTATTATAAGATTCTAGTATTATATCTTTACTTAATCAGTTCACAATGATCAGAACATTTCTACAACTCTTACTCTCAGAGAGATCAACTGTGAAGTCAATTGTCACATCTTATCAGATTCTATCAGAGACATTGAGTGATTTCAGCAGGCCTTTTCTATGATTCTTTCATGAAGTGATAGAGAAATAATGATTGCAGTTTCAGATAAAGCATCTGATACTGTTTAATATCTCAGATCAGTAGAATTCTCAAGAGATCATTTGATACAGTTATTCACAACCTGAATAATCAGTTATACATGAATCATGCATCTCTTGCATTATCTGAGTGTGTAGAGGTTCAGACTGAGAGACTCAATGTCATTCATGAAATCATAGAGTATTATTACTATCAATTGAACATTCTCAGATGTCAGTCTTTATACATAGTTCTGAAGAAAATCAAGATACTTCTTATTGTACTGCTTCAGTGAGAATCTGAAGAAGTTCATCAGCTCAGACTGTTATATATCACAGTTTATTCAGTGTGAGAGAAGTTGAGATATTGATATCAGTGTTGATAACAGTTCAGAGAGGAGATGTTCTAATTGAAGAAGTATGTATAATGTCATGAGTTGTTTTATCTTGATTAACTAATATCTTCAGATCTAAGAGTCAGTGTTTCTGATTCATTCAACAGGTGTCTGTTATATCAGAAGGTATATCTTGCTCTTGTCATGAGAGAGTATCTGTCATTGAGTTCTGACTGCTGAGGTGATAGTGTATAGTGAAATGAAAATGACTTAATAGCTCAGATCATTACATCTGATATTCAGTAAGCTTACAGATGATTATAAAATGCTTGAGATTCTTATAATCTGTGATTATCTCAAATTTGAAGATACTTCAGAGTTCAGAGTCTCATTCTTCTAGACAGTGTATAATTGTGAGAAGTTTCTTATTATAGATCTTGTAATTGCATTCAGCAGAACTCAGTTTCTTAGACATGAAGATGTATAATTATAAGACATCTTCATTATCATATTGCAATATAGCTTCTTCTATGATATAGTCAGAGAAATCAGCTTCAACAACTGTCTTACAATCAGAATTGAATATTATCAGCAGAGAGATATTAATGAATATCTTCTTTATCTGTGTGAATACAGCTTCAGTGTCTGCTAATCACTGAAATACTGAATTCTTCTTAATGAGTTCTATGAGTGATCTTGCAATATCTGAGAAGTTTCATATGAATCACTGATAGAAGTTAGTAAATCTGATGAAGCTTTGTACATCTTTCACAGTATATGAAGCTTTTCACTCAAGAATAGTGAAGATCTTCTCAGAATTCATTTGAATTCTCTTGTCAGCTTCTATAATAAAATCTAGATATTTTGTACTCTTGACTTTGAAATCACACTTATTAATATCTATCAGTAGTTCTGCCTCTTGTAATTATTGTAATACTCTTCACACATGTTCTTAATGTTCTTTTCTAGATTCATCAGTGAAGATGAGAATGTCATCTAGATATGCAGATACAAACTCATCAAGGAAATCTTGAAGTGCTCAGTTAATATACTTCTGAAATGTACTGAGAGCATTAGTCAGTCTAAAGAGTGTGACTACTCATTCAAAGAGATTATAACATGTTTGAAATGCTGTAAGTTATTCATCTTCTTCAGTGATACAAATCTTATAAAACATGATAATGACATCTAGCTTTATAAACTATCAGACTCATCTGATATATACTAGAGTTTCATTGATAAGAGATAAGAGATAATGATCTTTCTTTGTCAATCTGTTCAGATCTCAATAGTTTACACAGAATTGAAGTTCTTCACCTGATTTCTTTGTAAAGAGAATAGAAGCTGCAGCAGAAGAGTTACTAACATATATGAATCTCTTATTCAACAGATTATTGAGTGTCTTCTGAAGAAGAAGAAGTTCATCTTGAGATATATTATAAAGAGAGCCTTATGATGACTCAGAATTCTTATCATTCTTCTTTTCTAACTTGATACTGTGATTCACTTCTGAGCCTTGTAAAGAAGGTATATTCATAATATTATCTTATCAGAAGATATCTAGATATTCATGATATTATTGAGAGAGTTTTGTGCAAGAATCTATTATTATAGTACAGGATAACTTCTCTAGAGTCTTCTTGATATCAGCCAGACTGATGAAATAGATTGATACATGATTCTGCTATCAGTGACTTTATCAGCAGTCTCACTGATGACTTCTTTTTCAGAGCATTTCATAAGTGTTGACAGAGATCTGTATAAGATTCATAGTCTTATGAATATCATCTTCATGAATCCTATCATTGTTAGAGAATATTAAACTCCTGTTTTAAGTATTCAACAAGATGCTCTGTTCAGATAGTCAGATAAGTTCTAGCATAAGATTATAGTTAAGATTATCAATCTCATATACATAGATATCTTCACATTGATGTTCTTCAACATCTATGTTTAGTTTCATCATGTAACAAATGTGAATGTCTTTCGAATCATTAAATTCTGCAAGGAGTCAGAGTTTTGATAAGAGAATACACTGAAGATTTAATCATTGCATAATAACATAGATTGCTGTCTATCATGACTTTCATATTATACATGTTATCAATCACAGTAGATACAAGAATTGCATTCATTGCTATTTTCTCTTTAAATTATTGTCATCTGACCTCTTCAAGCTTCTGTTTACAAATTTAGACAGAAGCTAATCTTTTCTCTGTTTCATCAGAGCATCTTCATAGTTGTCTTCTGAATCTTTCTTCAATGCAATGTGATTGACACAGACAGATGTTAATTTATTCTTTGAATGAGAAGATACTGGTCTTTCTCTTGAGTGAGAAGATACATAGACTGATCAGCAGTTGAAAGCAATATATTCTGATCAGTTACAATTAATACACACCTCTCATTGATATCAGTCAGTGACTTCTTCAGAAGTGATCTCAGAAACTTAAAAGTCTGTTCAGACAGCAGAGATTCTTGCTTATATATAGATATTCAAGTCTACTCAATTCATAGCATCTGCATCATTGTTGTCATTTCTCAGCGCAGGTGTATGAGTGGCTGAGTTATTTCTCAGTGCAGATATATAAGTGTAACATCTTCTGTCACTGTTCTGTATACTCTTGAGCTTGATAAGACAGTCATTCAATGTTCAGAGTTGTATGCAGAAACCTTCATAAGTCTGATCTTTGTCTACACTTATAAGAATCTGTAAGAGTTCAAAAGTTAATGTCTTCTTGAGCATGCTAATCTTTATTCAATTCTCTCAAGATTGATTATCTGCTTCTAGAATCTTAGTGTTAAAGTCAGAGATGAATGTTGTAAGAGAAGTGTTTCTCTATCAGACACTCTGTAATCAATCTAATACTTTCTGTTATATAGCAGTGTCTTAGAACAGAACATCAAGATGTTTAATAATATTATCAGATGTTTATAACACTGATTCACATGCTTTCATTCATGAATGAAACTTCTATTTTGTGTGATTCTTCAATTGTTCATTGATATATTAATCTTGATTAGTTAGTGAACTGATGACATCTTCATCTACACTCAGTTTCATAAGCATTTCTATTCTTCATGATGAGTAGAGAGTGAGATCAGAAGCATTGAAATATACAGAAGTATCTAAGCATTCTTTCAGCACTTTTGTATTCAATTCTGTAGATGTTGAAATTGCATGAATTTCTTATTAAGTTAATTATTGAATTTTCTTGTATTGAAGTTATTGAGTTGTATACATATCAGCTATCTATTACTGTTGTAATTTCAACATTGCTTAAAGTCACTGTGATATCACATCTATGCTTGTGTTCAAGAGTTCTCTCATATTATCATTAGATATGATTATATCAATCATCAGATGTATAATATCTGTGAAAGTGTAATTGTATGAATATCTGTGTTTCAAAGATTGCTTGAGCCAGCGTATGATTACAGGCGTACGCCGGCTTCTTATATACTGTACGCTAAATTAATTGGTGGCCGCTATGGCCCCTTTACATTCATAAGCAAGTTCAGAAGCAGCCGCGTTATTATCCAGCAGTTGTATGTTCTTTCAAACCACATCCTTTCTCATCAGATTCAGTCACACTTACATGACCATGATGTATGCCCTAGCTTCATGCGGATTAGCACGCCACTAGTGTTCATGATTGTGTAATCTATCTCTGATTTGACTAGTGTTTCACATACACTCTTACAAAGAAACTTTCACTATATTACATCACTCATTCACTAACTTTTCCCATTCTTCAATTATCTTCTTCATCATCATCATCATTGAATGTTACTATCTTATTCAAGATTTCTACTTCTTCTTCTATTCAACACTTTCTATCTGTTCATCTATCACATTATACATGTTTCTGACAATGACTCTCTGTTCTCACAACAAGTGTCATTGTAGTACTCATACCAGGCAGTTTGTTAGTAGTAAGTGTAACATGTTGTGAAATGTGACTGAGACTTGTTTATCTTCTAATGATTGCCAGAATATACTACTATGAATGACACATCTTCTTTATCTCTCTATATGCCTCTGACTCTCTTTTTTTCCAGCAGGCATCTGATCATGTTTTCCTGATCATATTTCCTGATCATTTTGCATGGCTGCAGATGCTGATATATTTGTTTTAATTTATATAGAATCTTCACACATTGACAGATCTGCATTCACTGATAATTGTGATCTCAATGTTGAATTATTGATTGAGAACTTGAAGAATGTGATAATGAAGAAATTGCCTGTGTCATGTATGACTGAGTCTCTCATGTCTCTCTCTATTCTCTCTGTTTCTTTCTCTGCTGCTTCTTCTCAATCTTCTATACCTGTCTCTGTGTCTGGTTCTCCTGCTCCTGCTATTCCTGTTCCTGCAATTCTCACTTCTGCTACTTCTGCTTCCTCTGATTCTGTTATCTCTGCTTTCATTACTAGCTCTCCCTGTTTCAAGAAGATATTGTATAGACTTAATGAATCACATTTCTCAGTGTGAATACTCTCATTCTTCTTATCAATCTCTAGAATGATTTATTGTATAAAGACTGTGTATGACATGACTATCTGAAGCTCAGTCACAGACACTGATTATTATATTTATTTTAAATATTCATGATAAGACAATTGTTTATTTGTATCAGAGAATCACTCTCTTCTCAACAGTGTTGAGATTATAAGTCTTTCTTTTTTTCTCTTCTCTTTCTGATGCTGATTTTTCTGTTCTTAGAAGAAATCATTATAAGTTTTATTATACATGAAGTCATGATGTTCACAGACATCAAGAAACTTTTTATGACTGTTAAATTCAATATTGTGAGTATATCTACTCTAATGAATATTTTTGAAATAATTGATCTGTATCAGTCTATTCTCTAGCATTTATCATCTGACTTTGTGATGCAGGTGAAGAATATCTGTGTTTTTGAAAATAAGAATGTGAATATCATACTCTTTTACACCTGCAGATGTGAGACTTGTACACCTTGTCTAGAATATTGTTGTGAGAATGAGCTGTTTGTACACTGTGTTCTACTTTCTGCATTTCCTCATATTTCTCTCTCTCTTTCTGAGGAGCCTTGTGTGTGTTGTAATTGTATGTACAATTCTAAGATTAGCAGATGTTCATTCAATAATTGTTATTCCTGCTTTTGCAGTTTCATATGCTAATAATAGTTCTTAGTTACTCTGGTGTCAGAGATCATTTTAATCAAAGATGATAATACTGCTGAGACTACTTTCTTCTGTCTCTAAGCTTCTTCTGTCACTTTCTCTCCCTTCTCTGTGAGGAAGGTGATGCACATACTGAGTTGTAAGTATTCAGCCCTGAGTGACTCCTGCTATTATTCATCTGATTCTGTGTCTTCTTCTTCTTCTGTTTCTTCTGTCTTCACTCTCTCTGTTCTGACTCCTGGTTCTGTGAGTCTCACACTCTTCTTCAATTTTTCTACACATACATGTACATATTTCTATATTGGCATTCCAGTCAATCTTGTGATAAATGACATTAATGTCATATGCAGAGCAGTAGAGGAATCAGAGATGTGCACAGTGTTATTGTGAGAGCAGCTTGCAGTTCTCAAATTTCTTGTGAATCTTGAGTTTTGAGATTTCCTTTGTTTTTGATGTTTTTCAGGTGGTGTGGCATTGGAAATAGATTAAATGTGTGATATATGAAAATGAATGAGATGTGTATAATAACATTTGTCTTTTATGACTGACTCTTACAGTTGATAATTAATTCATTTTTCTTTTCTTACACTTTTTCTTTGTCTGCTAGTCACTACTCTTACACAATCTCTATATAGTACAGTGTTTGATGACTAGATTCAGCAGCTTTCATCTTTTGTGATTCTGTCTCATGCATTATACTGTCTCTCTTCACTCACTCAGATCACTACAGTGAATGACTTATCAAAACTAATCTCATTCAATCTCTGAGTGTTCTCAGAAATCAAGATGACTTGATCTCATGCATCTGTGAATGTTTCAGATGATTCATTCTCTGTTGTTTTTACAATTGAACTGATGTAAACAGTTGAATTCAACTCTGAATTCCTCTTTCTTCTGTGATCTGACTCATGTACAAGTCTGTTACTTTGAGACTGCTCTTTGCTGTGTTACACTCACTGTCTGCAGCATGTTATTATATGATCAGCTACAGTCTCATCACTTATTGAAGTATGACATTCACCTGATTTCTTCATTTCTTCTCATTCTTTTCTTATAATTGTGAAAAGAGTGGAATAACTGAGATCATCTGATTTGTAAGTGTCTATGATTTCTCTTACTTCATGAGGTCTTTCAATTATAAGCTTCTTCTTTTTCAATACTGATGATAGTGCTGTAGATGATCATAATCTGCTTGAGTCTTGTATCTTTACTTTCATAAGTCATGAACTATTTATTAAGTTGTATAAGATCTGTCCCTCTGATTTCTTCAATGTGTAAGTTCTCAGAGAATATGATTTAAGTATTTTATAGAGCTTAAATCATCTAGGTTGAAACTTCTCAGAACTCTTATTATGTATAAGAACTTACATTCTCATCTTAAGACTTGATTTCTTAACTAGTGAGTCTTATATTCTTTTTGATTGAATTGCTCAGTTCAGAAGTAACTTGTTAGCTTTTGTATGTGTATAACTGATCTCTTTCAATCTTGATTCTGCATCTGTGACTGTTGTGTCTGTAACAGCTGTTTCTGCTGTATCTGCAACTGGTGCATCTGCAATCAGTGTGTTCACAACCACTGTTCCCTCTCCCACCGTTTTCAAAGCATTCCCCGGGATGCACGGATGCAATTCATACAACAGGTAGAATGATGAATGCTTGAAGACTGCATGCTGTTGAATCTGTGTGACTAATAGTGCCTGTCTGAGATATTCATCTCATAGTCTCATAGGCTTGTTCACTAGATATTTCATCAGCATGTTACTTAAGATTTCATTCAAGCATTTCATCTTTCTGTTCATCCGCGGATGATATGATGTTGTTCTACAATATCTTGTCTGTAACTGACTCATGAAATGCTTCACTGCTTCTTCTACAAGATTCACATCATTATCAGTTAGAATCTCACACAGCATTTCATAGTTAACATAGATCTCATTATATAGAAACTTTGTCATCATCTTCTCTATCATCTCTGAAACTGCTTTCATGACTGATCAGTCAGTAGTGTAATCAATAGCAGTGATTATTTATTGATTTTTATTTAATGTTTGTGATAATATGTCTATGAGATTCATCTCTTATTGTTTAAATGATTGTATCATACACTTCATCTGATGTTGCACTTTCTCATATTCTAACCCTTTCTTAGATTCTTTCGTGACCTGATAATTCAGGCACTTGTGAGTGTACATCTGAATGTTCTCAGCCATGCTTGGTCAGTATACTCTTGATTCAAGTACACTCATGAGTTCAGAGCTTTCTAAGTGGCTGAATTCCTTGTGCATGTAAGTCATCAAGTCACATCTAAATAAATGTTCTAGATAGAGAGTTTTCACATATACTAGATCACAGTAAAGTATAACATCATTTTTCAATTTCCTCAGCTTGAAGTTCAGAAGCATCTCTTCTACTACTTTCATAAGATACTTATTATCTGACATCTTGTCATTCTTCAAGTGAGAGATCATTGTGTTCACTCATTCTGATTTCTTATACTCTCTCAGTATGTTTAACATGAACTTCTCTTATATCTGATTCACAGAACTCTCACTCATGAAATTGAGTCTGTGACTGATTGCATCAGATATCACAGCATTCAATCTCTTTCAGTATTTAATATGAAGATTGTATGCTTGAAACTCTGAGATTCAATGTGCTAAGTGTTTGAAAGGTTTTGTTATTAATTATAGATAGATGAGACTTTCATGATCTGTGATCACTGTTATTATATACTCATTGTTAATATATCTATCTCACAATGTCAGTGTGTGCTTAATTGCTAGTAATTCCTTTTCATACACTGAGTAATTGAGCTCAGTGTCTGATAGTTTCCTATCATTATACATCACTGAGTGCAGCTTGTTATTCTTGTCTATCTGTAGAAGAGTGCCTCTGATAGCTCATTTAAATGTGTCTGTCTCAATGTAGAAAGGTTTATTATAATCTGATTGAATAAGTACTGAGAATATTGTTACATATTCTCTCAGTGTGAGAAAAGCCTCTTCACACACAGTATTTCAGATAATTGAATAAAACTTCTTCTTTTGCAGATTTGTATCTGTTTCTCTTAAGAGATCTGAGAGTGATGCAGATATTTATGCAAAATCCTTGATAAATCTGCAGTAATATAAGATCAATTTAAGAAACTGTTATATATAATATACATTTCTCAGCTGCAGTTAATTCACTATGACATTCAATTTCTCTGAGATGGGATATATACAGTCATCACTCACTATATATTCTATAAACTTCAACTCTTCTGTTTCAAACACACACTTTGTTAATTTGATATAGAGCTTATACTCTGTCAGAGTTATAAGCACTTTATTAAGATACTTCAGATATTCATTATATAAGTTTGAAAAGACTAGAATATCATCAAGATATATAAGGTATGAGATTTCATTCTGTTTATGAAGAATTGTATTCATCATTATTTAAAAGATGATAGATGCATTTATCAGACTGAATAGTATTATCAGAAATTCAAACTTCTCTCATTGTGTATTAAATGTGATTCATGAGACTGATAGTTTACTCACACAGATCTGTCAGTATTCTGAGAGAAGATCAATCTTCAATAGATATCAGGTGTTTTTAACTGTATTCAACTGTTATTGAATCTGTGACAGTGAATATTCATTCTTGATTATAAGTTTGTTAAGTACTTGATAATTAATACACATTCATCACTTCTCACTCACCTTTTTCATGAATAGAACTGAGAAGTCTCACATGCTTGATGAGAGTTGTATAAGACTATGTTCTAGAAGGTCTGTGATCTGATACTTCTGTTCTTCAAGATGTGTTTGTGACAGGGGGTACACATTCTGATTGACTGGTTTCGCGTCTCTCATGTCAATCTTATGTATGAATCCTTGTTCCAGCAGCAATTTCAGTGAAAGATCTGTTCAGAAGATCTTTTCATGCTTCTTCAGAAGCTTCTTCATACACTTGTTCTTCTGCATATTCTTTATCTTGGTTTTCTTCACTTCTGAGTTCTGTATGACATACAGAATGCTTTCAGATGAGGTCTTATGAATCATTCTCTTTGCTTATTGATATGTAAGCAGATTTAATTCTTCTATATCAGAGATGTGAAATGTTCTTCTTATATTAGTTAATAGAATCATATGAACTGTTCTCTTCTTATCAGTTAACTGCATATGACATGTACATCATTGAATCTGTGAATTGAACCTTTGAAATCAATCAAGTTCAAGAATAAGGTCATATTTCATGTTTTGCAGCTCTCACACTCAAATATAGCAAGATCATTCTCTGAAGTGCAAGAGAACTCTTATTCTTACAGATGAT